CGGAGGTTGAGAGTAACTGCTGGAGGTTACGCGAAAGTCAAAGGTCAGCGACCTTTGACCTGACAAGTACAGCGCGACAGCAAGGACACACAACTGACTCGTTACAGAGCAGTTGCCCGAGTCGTCACTGTATCGAACCGCAACAGCAACAGTAAAGTAGTTACAACCGTATTCCTTCGTATTCCTTGTACTCTTATGTATAATCTTGTATCTCCTTGTTTTAATCAATCTACTTTGCCCTCACATACTAGCGCAAGGTGGTTCACAAACTCTTCATTAAACGCTTCCGCTAATTCAACAAGTTCTATCCCGAGTTCACCTCTGCAAAGATCCTAAGGGCTTTTTCTCAGCCCAACATGGTATGAGAGCTATTAGGGGGAATTCAACTTCTATCAAGAAACCGACAACATCAACAGGCATGGCTACACAAAAAGAAAGGAGCGCCTCCAACGGCTCCCAGGGCACTACCCCTACTCCACCTCCTGCCTCTGGCCTACAGACAGAAGAGGGCTCGGCAACAAGACCCAGGGCAACAACCACCGAGACTCCTGCAAATCAACCTGCAGGCTTCGATCAGAGCATGATGGAGAAATCCTTCTCCTTCATGTCCTTCTACGAGCAACACCAGCAATCGGCACCTGCGCAGTCACACAACAGCAACAACGACGGAGCAACGCCCATGAGTCTCGACGGCTCATCATACCGTATTCTCCCGGACAAAACACCCCCCCATGATAGAGCACCCCCGGGTATCTTGTGCGGGGTGGGTGCTATGGGCGACCTCGATTTCACTATACCCCCCTTTTTGGATGATTTTTTTATAACACCCTCCTGTGCTTACAGATTCTATACTATAGCTGTTAACGAGTAGGTACAAGTACGGGAGTATATCGCACAAATCCCTCGCTCGATGAAATTTCCCGGTTCTTTCACATCGAATCTGCCGAGATTCCCCCCCGCCCACTATTTCGCTATCGCCACGTGCTGGGGAATCTTCCGCTGCAGGTGGCCAGAGAGGTGCCAAATGACATTTCCGAGGGGGTGATGACGTTCGCGTCGAAACTGACATTCGCGCCTCAACATGTGTTGTTAAAAAGCCCATGGAAACACTCATCTTCTCTAATAAAAAAAAGCCTAACACTAAAATATACCATACATATGCACCCGGGTATTATATAGCTTTTTCCTATGAGAAGACACCCCCCCTTTTTTTCTTGTATTTTTTTATCTACCCTAGGGTGTTATGTCCGCGAGAATACGGTATGCACGAGGAAATCAACAGCAGCAGCCTACCTTTGCTCCGTATGAACGCGGGTCCATCAGTTTCATGCCTCACCCCCAGCCTTCACCTGGACAAGAAAAGTCACTAGACGCATTACAAGTTCAGTCGCAGTTCGCACACGTTCTGAAGATGCAAACGTCAAGACCCTTCGATGGAAAGGACTTCTTCACCTGGTCGTTTGAATTCGAGTTGATGATGGAAGGCGCGCAGATACTTGGCTTCTTCGACGGATCCCTGCCATATCCAACAAACGGCACACAGTACGAGAAGCAGCAGTACACCTATCAGTCAATGATGACGTACACGATTCTTCTGAGGAACATCACCCCGACTCAACAGCAGAACATACGGTCTTACCGGGGTTACGGCAACTCCGCGGAGCTCGCATACAACCACTTGAAGAGCGTGTATCAAGCAACAGACAGCGTAAATCAAAGTCGGTTAATGGCGCAACTAACAACGGTCGAAATGAAACCAGGCGAGAAAGGATTGGCGTATATCAGCCGATGTCGCGAATTGCGCGACAAACTTCTTCGATGCGGAGGATCGATTTCTGAAGACGCCTTCATGACAGTTATCATAGGCGGCCTCGGTCCTCAATGGCGCACCACAAAGGCCATTCTTCGAGCCCACGGAAGAATCTCCGAAGCAGCGCTTTGCGCCGAAATCCACGCCGAGCAGCAAGACATGGAACTGCAAGAGGAACGACACAAGAAGAAGACATCAGCACAGGAATTTGCATTCCACACTCAGCGACGCTACAACAACAACAAACAACAACAGCCGAAGCCCGTACCTTCGTTCTGCCACATCTGCAAGACGTCAGGGCACCCACGCACGCACTGCCCGAATCGACAACAGTCAACGCCTCCACAGCGGCAGCTTCGACCCTCAAGCAATCAAGTCGCTTCGACACAAACGAATCCTACGACTCAGATTAAGGCCTCAACAACTTCAACGGGACAACCTGCACAAGGAATAAGAAACATCGTCAGTTGCATGGCAAGACTGTCGGATTCCTGCATCACTGGATCGCCGCCACACTACTCACCAGAAGAACAACTTGATGAAAGGACTCCACGTCGTAAGACACTGGAGCCGAATCCGACATACGCAGCTATCGCCCAGAGCGAACCATCCGGGAAAGACACGTGGTTCTTGGACAGTTGCTGCGGACAGCACATGTGTTCTTCAGGACGCTTCGTGCAACGAGAGCATCAACTTCAACGCGAAGTGGTTATCACCGTCGCCAACAATTAGAACCTGCGCACACGACGACAAGGCGTGGTACAACTTCAGTCACGAGAGACAAATGTCATCCTACAGATGTCTAAGGTCTTAATCGCAGAAGGTCTCGGCTACAACTTACTGAACGTCAGTCAGTTGATGGCAAAAGGAATTCATTTTGAAGTAGATAGCACCACCCAAGAGTTCAAGCTGTACCACGGGAAGGGTGGTCTCTACATCGGAAAGGCGATCCTGAAAAATAACGTCTTCGTTCTTGACTTTGTTCCAGATCTCGGCACACCAGACAGCGACGGCATCGTCACCTTCATTTCTTGGACCCACCCTCCAGATCTTGATCCAGACTTCAGCCCCGGCGGCTTCTGGTATTCACACACCATCCCTGAGGCAGAAAGGATAAGGGCGTTAGCAACAATTCGACACTCGGCAGCAGCAGAGACAACATCGGCAGCAGCAGAGACAACATCGGCAGCAGCAGAGACAACATCGGCAGCAGCAGAAACAACATCGGCAGCAGCAGAGACATCAACGGCAACAGTAGGAACGTCAACGCCAGTCGCTGGTCCCTCAATGGCACCACCTCTCGTCAACGACACACAACCGACACCCGCGCAACAACTACACCCAGCACCACGAGAAGTTCATCGAAGCGCCAACTTCACCGCCAGCTTCTATTCCAACTCCGATATGTATCGGCGCTCACCCGGACATCGCGCCACCGAAGGAACCTGGCACGCAAGAATGGGACATCCAAGCAACACGGTTCTAAACAACACGATACGAGCAGGCGTGCTCGACAAAGACTCCCTACTCCTAACCGACGGCAGAGAACTTCAACGAGCCCGTGGAACATACTTCACCTGTCCCGAAGCTGACTTACCACATCAACCGTTCGTGTCTCACCACAACTCAAGCGCACCAGCCTACGCGCCACTCGAGAAGGTGTACAGCGACATCTTGTACAACCGCGAGCCCGGACAAAACACGTACAACTATACCATCACCTTCATCGACGCCGCCACACGATACGTCTGGCATCTAAACCTTCCGAGCAAAGACATGGCCTTCAAAGCCTTCGTTGCGTGGCTCCCAGTAGCAAAGCGAGAATCGGGCGTCAAACTGAAGAGCTTCCAGTTAGACGGAGGAGGAGAATACACCTCAAACCGATTCAAGGAGTACTTGGCAGAAAGAGGAATCAAGCGCCTCATCTCCCTTCCCTACGCCCATCAACAGCAAGGTGTTGCAGAAAGGATGAACAAGACGCTCCAGAACACCATGCGCAAGCTGCTGCGTGGCATGCATCTGCCCACCCACCAGTGGCCCGAAGCAATGGACCACGCTGTCATGCTGCACAACTTTTATTTATGTTACAAATAATACCACCGTGTTTCTATTTAAGTGAATATGACCGCCTATCCACACGCACATTTGGAAGATCTGTCCTAATGGGTTTGGGTTGGGGAAGGTTATACGTAGAAAGCAAATCGAAGTCAGGGGATACCATAATCCCCCCTATATACCACAACCCAGACATTAAACACCCTGGGGTGGCGTCCATGTGGATCTGGGAGCTGTATAGAGGCGTTCTTTCCTTGAGAGCACCTTTTACTGGACAAAATCAATATACCGCACCCTCCTATAACATAGGGATTTTTAGTGTGATCCACGCACCAAGGATTGTAGTCGGACAGATTAGATGCGCATCTGCCCAGGTATCGGAAAGACCATTGGGTGCTACACCGCTAGTACTGGAAGCTTTCTCATGGTTCGAGTTCGGGGTGACGTGCGGGTGACAACTCACTGGGGTAGAGCTTGAGAGATTGTTGTTGAACATTGTTGGCCCCTACTGAACATGACATGAGATACAGTAAATTTGCATACACTACATGCAACTATTTTTGGAAAATTGTTCCAGAATTCAGGACGTGTCTGGAAAAAGTAAGAAACGCAGCATAAGGTCTTTGTTACGTCTTATTCTGATCACTTCAACAGTCACAAAACAAGGGCAGTCTGTGTAATACGGCAAACCTGTCCGCCGCTCTGGTTTGCCGAACTGGCACCCCGAGAAATTCGTGGCAGCACTGCCACTCCAGGCGCTCTTTACAAACTCTGCTATCCATGGGATGTGCTTTTTAAGGCCCAGTACAGCACTGGAGAGACTTGAGTGGTTGTGCCATGGCTCTCAGCAGAGCAGTGGCGCTGGAGGGCTCTGCATGCAACAGTCAAGGCGAGAATGCATGAGGGGAGACAGGAGAGGAGAGGAGAGAGATGTTGTGCAAGGGACTCGTCTCTGCTGTGGCTCTCGGCAGAGCAGTGGCGGTGGAGGGCTCTGCATGCAACAGACAAGGCGAGAATGTATAATTAGCACAGATGCATGGTGGCAGAAGATGGTAAGAGGGAAGGAAAGAGAGGACAGAGGGACGGGGAAGGGGAGAGAAGGAGGAAGAGCTGTGCAACAGATGAGAATGGACGATTAGCACACACTTGGAAGATGATTGAGAGGAGGGAGAGGGAGAGACGGAAGAGGGGAAGAGGGGAGAGGGAGAGAGAGAGAGAGAGAGAGAGAGAGAGAGAGAGAGAGAGAGAGAGAGAGAGAGAGAGAGAGAGAGAGAGAGAGAGAGAAGGCAGGTAGAGGAGGAGGGGTATGTAGGACGGGACAGGATGAGAGAGGAGGAGGAGGAGGAGGAGGAGGAGGAGGAGGAGGAGGAGGAGGAGGAGGAGGAGGAGGAGGAGGAGGAGGAGGAGGAGGAGGAGGAGGAGGAGGAGGAGGAGGAGGAGGAATAGAGAAGGAGAAAGCAGAACAGAGTGGGAGGGAGGGAGGGAGGAGAGCGTGGGAGGGAGAGGCGGAGAGGCAGATAGAGGAGGAGGGGGATGTAGGACGGGACAGGATGAGAGAAGGGAGATTGGGACAATGGACAGGGTGCAAAAAGGAGGCGGAGAGGCAGGTAGAGGAGGAGGGGTATGTAGGACGGGACAGGATGTGAGAGGGAAGGAAGATAGAGCGTGAGGGAAATACATAGTGAAAGCGAGGGCTTACAGAGGGGAGGGGAAGCTAGTGAGGTTTGCACTGACCGTAGACGTTACGGTAGCCCTGGTCGCCCTGGCACCCCACCTCCATGCTGTCGTTTGTCTTGATGCACATTCAACGCAGAGACTTACATTCGGTTGAAGGTTCTTGGGGCTTGCATATGCCGTAGACGTTACGGTAGCCCTGGTTGCACTGGCACCCCACCTCCATGCTGTCGTTTGTCTTGATGCAGTCCATCTTGAACGCACTGCTCACACAGACACAGGGGGGAGGGGCGCATGGGAGGGACGCACGGGAGGGACGCATGGGAGGGACGCATGGGAGGGACGCACGGGAGGGACGCATGGGAGGGACGCATGGGAGGGACGCATGGGAGGGACGTATGGGAGCAGGTGCAGGGCACATATGGCAGCAGTAGGATGGACTTCACTGATGCGTCCATCTTGACCGTACTGCTCACACAGACATGCACAGGGGGAGGGGCGCATTGGGTGGGTCACGCAGCGAGTAAGGTGGGAGTGTCGCTGGGAGCACCAGCCGCCAAAGGGTGGGACACATGCGTGGGACACATGCGCGCCAGTAAACAAAGAGCACCCGAGCAGTCGGCCGATGCGAACAGCTGCACCGCAGTGCACACCGTACGATCCAAAAACACGTCCCACCACACCACACCAGCACCCCCCCCCCCCCCCCCCCCCCCCCCCGCCAGTAACAAGCGGGTGAGCACTCACCTCATGTCCCTTGTGTGGTAAACTGTGTTTTGGTACTTCGCCGCTGCAGTACCCGAGCAGTCGGGCGACGCGAACAGCTGCACCGCGCTGCACACCGTGCGCTCGAAATGCGCGTCACCCAAAAACACGTCCCACAACAGCAGCGCGTCCACCGCGCATCCTCCTCCTCCGCCGCTCGCGCCGCCGCCGCTCGCGGACGCGACTTCGGGCATCACCTTCCCCACGGATACGCAGCGCTCAAATTCGAATCGGACTTTGCGCGGCTGCGCGAGCGAGCCGAGGAGCATCATCGTGTCCATTCGCACATACAGCCGCACCACGTCGGTGGGCGCAGCGGCATTCGCTCCCATGGCTGTGGGGAGAAGGGCGAAGACAAAAAGGGAAGGGAAGGGTTGAGAACGAGCGAGCCGAGGAGGAGCATCACCGTGCCCATGCGCACATAAAGCCGCACCACATCGCTGCAGCCACAACATTTGCTGCCGTCGCTGCGAGCATGTCAAACAGAGAAGGGCGAAGACGGAAAGCTAAGCGAAAAGGTAGGAACGAGCGAGCCGAGCCGAGGAGGAGCATCACCGAGGCAGCGCGCACATAAAGCTGCAGCACACCACATCGCTGGCAGCAGCGGCATTTGCTGCCATCGACAAGGGTTCAGATTAAGCGAGCCGCGGAGCATCGCCGTGCCCATGCGCACATTGACCCGCCGTCGTGAAAAAAACGGTGTTTTTGATACGTCTCAAAAAGAGCCCACGCGCTCAAAAACCGGCAGCAGTCGTGCCTTTGCCGGCTGGTGCTCCCAGTGACGGCACACCCACCTCACTCGCTCACACGGAGGGGAAGGGAGAATGGCAAGACACGTCACACAGGGAAGGGCACAAGTCACGGCAGTGGAGTCAAGTCGGGCCGTCACCAGCAGTAGGGTCGGTGCCGCCGCCGCCAGCAGTGGTCCCTCTGATGGCAGGTTCTCTTAGCGCCAGCGACTCTCCCACCTCACTCGCTCACACGGAGAAACAGGGAACGGCACAAGTCACACCTGCAGTACCAGTCGGGTCGGTGCCGCCGCCGCCAGCAGTCGTCCCTTTGTTGGTCGGTTCTACCAGCGCCACTGACACTCCCACCTCACTCGCTGCGAAGGCGTCACACAGAGGGGAAGGGTGAATAGCAAGACACGTCACACAGGGAAGAATAAAAGTCACGCCAGTGGAGTCGGGCCATCACCAGCAGTCGTGCCTTTGATGGCCGGTTCTACCAGCGCCACTGACACTCCCACCTCTCTCGCTGCGAGGATGTTATTGAGGGGAAGGGAGAGCAGGAAGTGACGGGGGGAAGGGAGGGCAGGAAGTGACGGGGGGAAGGGAGAGCAGGAAGTGACGGGGGGAAGGGAGAGCAGGAAGTGACACGGGGAAGGGAGAGCAGGAAGTGACACGGGGAAGGGCGAGCAGGAAGTGACGCGGGAAAGGGAGAGCACGAAGTGACACGGGGAAGGGAGAGCAGGAAGTGACGCGGGGAAGGGCGACAGTCAGCGGCAACGACATTCCGATGTTGGTGTGACTTTTGAGAATTTTCAAGAGTCACACCAACAGAAGTGACACGGGAAGGGCGACAGTCAGCGGCAACGGCCTTTAGACCTCACTCGCTGCGAGGACGTCACATGGAGGGGAAGGGGGAACAGGAAGTGACACGGGGAAGGGGGCGAGACAGTCAGCGACAACGACCTTTCGACCTCACTCGCTGCAAGGACGTCACATGGAGGGGAAGGGGGAACGCCGAATAAGTAACGAGCGATTCGCGAATGTGCCGTTTTCTTAGTCAACTCAGGAGTCGAATGTGTACGGAATTGGGATTGGATTGAGCAGCTTGTAAGCTTCTAACGAGCGTCGCGCAAAACGCCTTGAGGGTGGGTCTTCGGGAGGGAAGCGTACCAATGAGGATGACGACGACGAGCAGCACGACAGCTGGCTTGAAGGGCAATGAGGGAGCGTGGCGCGAGGAGGAGAGGGAGGGAGGGAGGGAGGGAGGGAGGGAGGGAGGGAGGGAGGGAGGGAGGGAGGGAGGGAGGGAGGGAGGGAGGGAGGGAGGGAGGGAGGGAGGGAGGGAGGGAGGGAGGGAGGGAGGGAGGGAGGGAGGGAGGGAGGGAGGGAGGGAGAGATGGAGGGGGGGAGGGACGCGTACCAATGAGGATGGCGACGACGAGCAGCGCGGCAGCGGCCTTGAAACCTCCCATGCTGCTGGCGGTGGTGACGAAAGAGGCTCGGCAAGTCGTGGCGAGGGGTGGTACTAGTCGCCTGAGGGGATCTCGAGTGAGACGAGAATCCGTCAGTCAGAAGCGACGGACTGACGCGGCCCTAAGGCAGCGATGGCGGTGAGTTTTGAGTTTTGAGCGATAGCTTAAACAGTGCCGCTATCAGCAATACTGCAGCGACTATCAGAACTAAAGCGCGCTCTAGCAGCGAGGTGAAGCGCCTTAGAGCGCGCGTATTCTGTACGGCACGCTTTCGATACTCCCCGTGTGACTAGTGGTCGAGATGGCAGTTCAGCTCGCGACTCGAAACCTCGCCCGCCAACGGCGCGGCAAGAACTGTTTCCGGCTATCCGCACGCCCATATTGAGGGCCACTTGAGGGCAATACCGAGGTCATAATCTCTGCGACGCAACGAAACCCAAGCCGCGAACGCGACTCCCATAATCAGTCTACGCAATCGCGTTCGATTGGCTGCCTGCGTTGCGGGAAACCCGTGGACTGGCATGAACGGCTGTGTTGGTCCGACGTGCCCTGAGGTGCCGTGCCGTGCCGTGTGGGGCGCGGCACAGTCGATATGCTTCCCCCCAACCGCCCTATTTCTTTCGTCCTCGAACGGTTCTTGCTAGGTTTAGGGGAACTCACGAAGCGGAGAAGAATGGCAGACACTCGATTGGTATATTTGCAAAATGTCTTAGGGCGCGTGTCCTTATACAGTGTTTTGCAAAACTCGTCTTTTTTGTTGAACTTCTACCACTTGAACCTAGGTCGACCTCGGCTCGAGCATATAGATTCATTTTTCTCTAGCCGCTGTTCCTCGCTTCACATGTATCACACGGCACTCAACAGTTCGACTAGTTAAGTTCAACTCTGAACAGTAACTTTACGAGTCGCGCTGAGCTTTCGTAGGTTACCTGGTAGGGCGGTGCAGTTCGTGACCGTATACGAGTTCAGTAACCAGGTACAATGCTACTCGTTACTGTTGCGAACCTCGCGAAATTTCGTGCGTACGCAGAAGGACACACGACTGGATAATTGATAACGTAAAAATCCTAACTCAGGTCGACTTTAGTTCAGTGTCCTACTTCTTTCACACAGTTTGACATAGGACACACGATTCCCTCGCGATCGTTTTGGCGAGATTAACGAAGCGGGTTACCAGCAGAAGTTCAACCTTTTTCCGAACTTCTACACCAAAGGACACGCGCCCTTATGAAATCTGAAGGTCCAAAACCAGGTTTACTAGACTCAATTTCTTATACTCCCAGAAAAAAACTAGTTTTGGGGGGTCAGTCTGATGGTCCAGTTTACTTTCCACCCATTATCTTCATCTCTATTGTCGAGTTTCATCTTGATCAAGCACGTCTGAGCAAGCTGGGCCTCAAGCTTTAGCATGATGTGATATCATGGCAGATATTTAACATGCAATTATCGCAGAAAGGGTTGTTTATAAATATAGAGGCACTTCAAAGGTCAGGAGGCCTTTGGAAAACGTAAAAATGTTGCACGAAGCATCATTTCAATGTCCTCTTTTAATGATTCACACAATCAAGCGGCAACCAATCACAACGAACGGTCACTCTAAAGAGTAAGGCTGTCCTGCCCAGAATCACCCAAGGGATTATCAACCCCTCTCCTCCAGATTCCCCAAGCTGCACCCGGGACATCCGTAGCAGCACTGCCACTCCAGGCGCTCTCTAGGAGCTCTGCTAACCAAACGCTCTGCAGCTATTCAGCGACGCTTTGCTGCTGTTCATGGCAGCAGTAGCATGCACGGCAGCAGCATCCAGAGCAGCACTGTGTCAAACATATGCTGCATATTGTCTAGGCTGTAGTGGGGTAGCCCATATGGGGTACAACCCTAATTAGGGTTTACTATTTGTACTCCTGCGTGTTGCTAGTTCAACCATTTTCCTGCTGCTAGATTCTAACATGGTTTCAGAGCACTAAGGTCCGTAGGACCGTTTTTTTTTTTTTTCGGGCCCACCTACCGCTGCGGTTACCGCGCTACCCCACGTACCTGCCTGCCTTGCCTTGCCTTGTGACGTGCTGCACTATGCGCGCCGTCCAGCAGCCCTAACGCTGCCTCCTGCTGCCCTAGGCCAGCGCGCTGCCCCTAGAGGCCCGTAAGGCCCGCGCGCCGCCCCTAAACGCCCGTCAGGCCCGCAAACAGCCCCTGCAAACCGCTAAGCACGCTGCTGCCGCACGCTGCAGCCGCGCGCAGCCTGCACCGAGCTCACGCAGCCTGCGTCGAGCCGCGCGCAGCCCGCTGCAGCCGCGCGCAGCCCGCAGCTGAGCCGCGCGCAGTCCGCTGCAGCCGCGCGTAGCCCGCACCGAGCCGCGCGCAGCCCGCGCCGAGCCCACGCAGCCCGCGTCGAGCCGCGCGCGGCCCGCAGCAGCCCGCGACGAGCCGCGCGCGGCCTGCTGCTGCCTCGCGCGGCCCGCAACAGCCCGCGCCGAGCCGCGCGTGGCCCGCTACTGCCTAGCGCGGCCGCGCGCGGCCTGCAGCAGCTCAGTGCGCTGTCAGCACAGACCGCGCCGAGCCGCGCGCGGCTCTCTGCCTCAGCCCCGACCTGCCGCTGATGCGGCCTCGCCCTGTAGCTGCCACGGCCCCGACCTGCCGCTGATGCGGCCCCGCCCTGCCACTGCCACGGCCCCGACCTGCCGCTGACGCGGCCCCACCCTGCTACTGCCGCTGAAGCGGCCCTGCCCTGCAGCTGCTTCGGCCCTGCTCTGCAGCCGGTGTTGCGGCCCCGACGTCGCCGCTGTCGTGCGCCTGCTCGGCCGCCGCCCGTCGAGCGCCGGTCCTACTCGCCCGGTGAGCGCCTGCTCTCCCAGCCTTTGGTGAGCGCCTGCCTGCCTGCCTGACGGCCTGCCTATCTGCCTGCCTGCCTGCCTGCCTGGCTGCCTGCCTGCCTGCCGGCCTGCCTGCCTGCCTGCCTGCCTGCCTACGCGCCTGCCTGCCTGCCTGCCGGCCTGCCTGCCTGCCTGCCGGCCTGCCTGTCTGTCTGCCTGCCTGCCTGCCTGCCTGTCTGCGTGCCTGCCTGCCTGCCTGCCTGCCTGCCTGCCTGCCTGCCTACCGGCCTGCCTGCCTGCCTGCTTGCCTACCTGCCTGCCGCGCCTGCCCTGCCCGCGCTACTGCTGCTACTACTGCTACTGGCAGGTGGCCAGATGCAGCTCCAGCGACGTTCCCGCGAGCCTCTCACGCCCCAGCAGCTTAGTGAGTGGTATACTAGCTGGGGTTGTCGCGGTAGCCGTCGTAGCTGTCGCCCTGGAGCTGGTCAGTTGGGAGCGTCTGGCAGTGGCCAGCTGCAGCTGCATGGGCGTCCACGCGAGACACTTGCGCCCTGGCAGCTCCAGGAGTGGTACGTTCAGAGTCGCAGGTCTACGCGTACAGTTCGTTGCCCATACGTCATTCGCACAGGTGATCGGACTGGTCAGCCTTGCGGGACGCTTGGTCACACAGAGTCCCGCTGCTTCGCCCGTCTGAGCGACGCCTGGCGTACCGAGTTTGGCGACGAGGCTGAGCTCCCCAGCTGGGTGGAGCTGCTTGGACAGAGGGTAGATATCTTTGCTCTTGACTATGATGCTATTCTCACTGCCATGTATGCATTGTCTACTAGTGTTTGCCTGTTACCTGTGCATACCGCCTGCTGGTGGTACTGGTGAGGCTGCTGCTCTAGGTGCTCCTGCGTCTCCTGCTCTAGGTGCTGGTGCGGCTGCTGCTCTAGGTGCTGGTGCGGCTGCTGCTCTAGGTGCTAGTGCACCTCCTGCTCTAGGTGCTGGTCAGTTTGCTCTCTCTGGTACTGCGCCTGCCGTGGTCTTGCACACCTTCACCCTTGACTCAGGAGCTTCCCGCTCATTCTTTCGCGACTGCACCACACTCACGCCGCTCAGTCGGCCAGTCCCGGTCTCCCTGGCGGACCCCTCTGGGGGTCCAGTCCTTGCCCACTACTCCACGGTTCTGCCGTGTCCGGCCGTCCCGTCTGGCCTCCTGTCAGGCCTTTACCTCCCCTCGTTCTCTACGAACTTGGTGAGTGGAGCTGACCTCCAGGATGGGGGGGTTGACCAGTTCACTCCTGCGAGTCAGCGAGTGACTCACTGTACGTGTGCTCGGACGGGCCGACACTTGGCCACGTTCATCCGTGCACCTGGCTCGAGTTTGTACACACTGACCACTGAGTCTCCTCAGGTAGCTGCGTCCGCGTCTACGTCCGGTCAGCTGGCGGCCCCCTGCGAGTGTCGCGCTTTGTCGCACGACACTCTCCTGTGGCACCACCGCCTTGGTCACCCCTCCTTGCCTCGCCTACGTAGCATGCACTCTCGCTCCCTGGTCTCTGGTCTTCCCAGGTTTCTGCCTGCCCTTCCTCCCTCGCCTGCGCCGCCCTGCATTCCTTGCGTCGAGGGGCGGCAGCGCGCTGCTCCTCACTCCTCCTCGTTTCCTCCCACAGAGGCTCCACTGCAGACGCTCCACCTGGACATGTGGGGCCCAGCCCGCGTCCAGGGACAGGGCCACGAGCGGTACTTCCTGCTGGTTGTCGACGACTACACGCGTTACACCACGGTCTTCCCCTTGTGGAGCAAGGCGGATGTCCCTGCTGTTTTGATCCCCTGGATCCGCGCAGTTCGTCTCCAGCTCTGCGAGCGGTTCCGGTCGGACTTTCCTGTCCTGCGTCTGCACTCTGACAGAGGTGGTGAGTTCTCCTCCGACCTCTTGGCAGCCTACTGTGCGGAGCGCGGCATCACCCAGTCGTTCACGCTTCCGGCCTCTCCGAAGCAGAATGGGGTTGCTGAGCGCCGCATTGGCTTAGTCATGGAGGTCGCTCGTACCTCCATGATCCATGCAGCTGCCCCCCGTTTTCTGTGGCCATTTGCGGTCCGGTACGCCGCGCATCAGCTCAACCTCTGTCCCGGTGTCTCCTTGCCGGAGACCTCGCCCACACTGCTGTGGACGGGGAAGGTTGGCGATGCGTCGCGTTTCCGGG